GTCTCAACGTAGCCCGTGAAATCAACATTGTTGTTAGATGTGTTCGTGGGCTGAGCTAGAAGATTCCGTGAGAGGCGATGCCTCAGCCTGAATACAGCATCAGTGACACCGCAAGGAACCATAAGGCGACGCACGATAACGGTGTCATATCTTTACGATAGTCAATAAGAATACAGCCCCCAGCGTGATGGGGACCAAACGACCAGATTTTGTCGCAGATATCCACCCATTCCCCGCCAGCTTCGTTGCACTTCTCTTCCAGTGCATTCCAAAATTGGTCCGCTCTAACACTTGGAGTATGGAGCACATCGCCTTGGACACCAACCAATTCGCTCTCAGAAACAATGTCGATACTGTTACTGGAGGTATCTCTGCTTGTTTGACCGTCCCTCTGCAATGCTCTGAGAGTCGTTAAATTATGCAGCAAGAATTGCAAGATGATACCGGGGACAGGCGCCGAGCGAATCGAAAAAGTGACCAAGTTCTGTGTGCTTGCACCCTTGATTGTTCCACGGGCAGCATTTGGAGATTTCGAGGGTGCCATATCTATCCTCAAAGGTGAGTGACGAGACGAGACGATGCATTGCAGACTATGCATACCTTGGGCTTTCACAGCTGTTTCGCGGAAAGGAACAATTGGTTTGGACGCTTGAATCTCCACACGAGCGAACCTCTCTCGCAAGTCTTTCAGACATCTCTGTGAATAGGGTGAACGAAAGTAGACAACAATGAACAATCAAATCATACCTCTAAGTGTAACTCTCCTGCAGTCAGAATCACATGTTCTCCGGTCTGTTGCTGGAATGTTTCAACGCAGGGATCAGCTTGAGCGAGGAGCTTCATCCCGGCCACAAGTTTTGGCATATCAGAAGGGACGACAGGTTCAAGCGCAACCCGCACTATAGGAGATACCTATGATAGAAATAATGGTCAGCAATGAGATCCAAACACTCCTGTGACACTTGCCGTGCGAATAACACCACCGATGTTAATGAGACTATCATGCACCTGGACAGGATCTGCGCTCTCCGGAACGCCTGTGCTTTGTGGTGCACAAAGTGTGGCATTCCTATACACTTTACCTCCCAATCCTCTGATTGCAAAGGTGTTTCCTGCCCTGACACTGTCCACAGGGATAAGCTCCCGGCCCATCATCACGTACAATCCTTCAACTTTGGCCGGAATAAGATGCGCAACATTATGGGCGTGATTTGGAGGAAGGGTGGTATTGTACTTGGGCAGCACGCAGTATATGGTGGAGCCAGTGCTTATTGTCCCTGAATACAGTCGTGCAAAGCCGAGGATAATTTCAGACTCTTCAGAAACGTCTAACACCTCTCCTAGAGCCATGCTACGAGGTGATTCTGGGGCTGCACGAGGAGAGTCCGGAGTCCCTGAGACTAAAACGCTGTTATCTCGTGCTTCTTTGGCATCTCGCGCCCGCTGGCGTAACTCGTCCGCTGTCGCAACCCGTTTCTTGTTTTCCGGAAGTTCTTTGGCTGCAACAGCAAACATCTTGCTTACATATGCAACTACAACTGCGTTTGGCGCGAAGTTGGACGTGAAAAGATCCTGCTCTAACTTGTTTTTGGGTTGTATGTTCTTGTCGAATACGTTAGGATAAAGCATTTTGGGGATGCGAATCGCCTGGGCAACAGGAGGGGAAGGAACGACATCAATAGTTGCCTGAATGATGCACGTAGACAGCGAAAGCCACTGTGTAAAAATCGTGGACAACAACTGCCGACTGTCTTTTGACCTCAAATCCCGAGGCAAAATCTTCAGATTAAGAGCTGTTACAATCTTGGTCACTTTCTCTGTGTTCCTAGGAATTTATTAGCACATCATGTGGCATCATATGAAGAGATGATTACGGGTTCATTACAACGGCATCATAGACCGCCCAGATGTTCTCCAACACAAATTGGACAAACAATGGCTTTAATGTGCGTCCGCGAAGATGCTTCTGACTGATAACTTTCTTGGTTTTGGGATCGAGATAGAAGTCACCCCACAAAACGCGCCTTAGATTGGCTTCCTTGAAACCGAGCTTTGCAGAATAAAGCTGGGCGAAGTTCCCAACTCTGAAACCCCAACAATCAATGGCAGACGCAAACACTACATTACCCCGCTCTGGCGCGAAGTAGATATCTTCGTCGTCTTTCTCCTTGAAGTCATCTGTGTCATTGATGGATGCTTCGGCTTCATCTGCAAGTCGTTCCTTCTTTTCAGTAAGACGTCGATCGCGCTCCTCCCTCCACCGAAGATCGTCCTCCATCAATTCACTGGCAAAAAAACTGCCCATAACAGCATTCACTTGTTCGATCAACCGCGAAAGGTGCTGGTAAGCTTCGGTGGGCACCAGCTTCAGCTCCGTAATGAGTCTATCCATTTTGTTGATGACGAGGATCGGGCGGAGGTTATCCTGCCATGCCTGTCTAAGCACAGCAATAGTCTAGGCAACTGGGGTTAAATATATTCTGTGTCATAGATAAACTTACCCACCTGCGTGCACACACCTTCGACGACATCAACAAGGACCAGTGCGCCATCACACAACCGAGATGCTGTGGAAACTTCGCTCGAGAAATCGACGTGTCCAGGTGTATCAATCATATTCACGACATATGTCTTTGGGGACCTTTCTAGGCATGTTTATTACTATTCCTTGGCATATGCATCATGGTGAGATGTGTACCTTCGTCAGGTCGTCCCATGACCTGAAACTTGAGCGATACTGCGCTGCTTTCCATTGTGATCCCGCGCTCTTGCTCATCCTCTCTACTATCAAGAAACCTCAGCTTCCCCGCCATCCGATGAGAAATAATGTTGTTTGCCGCGAGAAGGGCATCCATCAGTGTAGTCTTTCCGTGATCGACATGCCCGAGAGTCGTGATTATTCGAACGTTAGCTGGGTCTGGGGCCTCCATCGATGTACCTGTTGATTCTATATGTACAGCTACGTGAGTAAGAAAGTGGGTGCGAAGCGCGTGTGGTCTCTCTAAGATTGATGTGATCGCTTTAAAATACGAGTTATGACTTGCCCGGGCCGGTGAACCATCGGAAGCGAGTTTTGTATGAACCGGATAAGGAAATCGCGAAGCGCTCCAATGCCAAGTTCAAGGCCAAGTTGTCTCCAAGCATATATGAGCTCCCTACACTAATAATTTCTTGAGGCTCTGCCTGACCGAGTCATCTAAACCCTTCCCGATCAACACCAACTTCCCTGAATCAGGAATACCTGTAACATCCCCTTCTACTAAGGATAGGTCATACATACTCTGCACGCCCTGTAGAACGTACTGCTCCCCGGATTCCATCACGAAAAGACCCTTACAACGAAGGACCTTGAGTTCGGATAGTCCAGTCTGATGGTAATTGTCCGGGATTCGGTTCTCCCACAGAACCGTACGTATCCATTCGTCTAGTTCTTGGAGACGATGGCGGGTTAACGTAGGAAGAGTAACCTGCAGACTAGATATGCCACGCAATTCGTAGTGCTTAGAGGAGACGGTGTGTCCTGCGTGGTCATGATTGTCATTGTTACCACGTGAGTGTTGTGCAGATTGCAGCCCTTTTGCCCCCCCTGCATATGCATTGATGTTCATTATGTGCGCTAGATCGATTTGGCCGCGGATAGTTCGGTGAATTGGAGCGGAGGGATTGACCCTTTGTATGAGCTCTTCAATCGAGCGCAATTGCTCTTCCGATGTCAGGTCGACTTTGTTCAGCAAAATAACATCAGAGCATGCTATTTGTCTGGAGATGTTGTAAGTCGCGAACGAGATTCAAGACATGATTCACAATCACCTGAGGCTCTCTCCAACGCCGTCGACAGAATGATCTTCTTCCATTTGCTAGTGTATGATTTAGCGGAGAAACTCGCACGAGTCAGAAAAGCGTCGATGTACCTGTTGACCAAAGACAGCATCGACGACACAAATGACGCCATCCAAGGAAATATGTCGACCTAAACCAGTGGCATACTCCTCATTAAGCCAGAACATAGAAGCTATAGGGCCTAGGAGACACAAAAGTCATATGAAAAACATCGCGAACAAATCATGGACTGCCTACCAGGATCAGCAAGGCCAGTAGTTTCTAGTAGAATATGATCAAAGGCGCCTTTCCTTTGCATAAGTTTCTCGATAGCAGCTACGCCAGCGTCTTTGATAGAACAGCATAGACATCCATTTGCCAACTCAAGGAGCTCCTGTGACTTCTCTGCTGTCGGGTCATCTTCCGAAGAGATATTAATGGTTTTAGCTATGCTTAATGTTAGCGAGGAAGTTCACATCGTCAGGATAGTAGCAGAAACCTTCGATGCTCTTCCAACGAATGTTTAATAGACGTAATCATGAGCAAATTAAATCATTGCTCACTGATGTATCGCCAAATTCATTCATGATCACGGCTATTCGATACCCGTGATGCTCCGTTAGAATACGCCTAATGAATGATGAGGTGGGTGCATGGTGCGCGTGGTGTCGAGCATTTCACGTACCTCAGCAGGGTGGATTTCCCCGCCCCAAGAAAGCCACTGATGATTGTGCATGGTACTCGACCAGTCGAGGCAGAATCAGGCATGATCGGTTGATCTTCATGCTCGATCAATGTCCTTGTAAGCAAGAACATTAGCAATGCAGACGAGCGACAGACTAAAACATACCGCGAACATACGGTATATCATCATCGAAGTCCATGACTTTGATCTTGAATGCTATAAATTTGGAACTCGCTTCAAGTGATTGATCTCATGTATTGAGAAAAATGAACGACCATATACACGGAGATGTGACTCACTGGTCGGGCGGATCAATGGACTCAGGTTGTAGAACGAAGACGGGAGCAAAGCTTCAAGTTGCCGCCGGCGATGGGATGGTGACCATACTGCTTCCGAACATTATGGAATACTATAACATTACTCTCGGTAGCTTGTTCTTGCTCTCCGTTTTATGGCACAATAGTGCTCATTGATGCACATGTCTTTCCCATCCACTATGTCAACCCCTTCGAACAGCGTGTTTCCGCTCACAGATGAATCCCTCAAAAACTTGATCCAGGGTCCAGGAGATGTGGAATGGAGGTATGTGCCGCACACATTCCTGCGCCACGGCTATGAATGCGCTCCAATTACCAGGTATGAAATGCGTCGGGAATGTCAAGAGATCATTCCTGGCCTTCTACTAGGCCCCTTCCAAGCGTCAAAGTCGCTCGAGGTGCTCAATTCGCTTGGCGTCACTCACATGTGAGGTTCAAACCCTCTTTGAATCGACGACCCAACTGATTGATCAACGGGTCTCTTATTTTATCCCTTGAAATTATATCCAAAGACTTTGTATACGTGATAAGAAGGAAGCATTCTCCGTGAAACCACGTTTCCCAGAACGTTTCGAGTACCTTGTGTTGGACGTAGAGGATAACGAAGACCAAAACGTCATTCGTCTGTTCCCGGAGTGCGTATTTGCTGCACGATATTCCATGAACATGCTAACAGTCAGCTAGAGCTCACAATTTTATTACTGAATCATTGAATAGAAAGGGCACTGTTCTAGTTCACTGCAACGGTGCGCTCTGCGCTTGACTGTTTGCAGCGCCAACTCAGTCCGCTTACGATACAGGCGGGATTTCCCTTTCACCTGCCTTTGTTGTCATGTTCGTCATGCGGCGTTGTCAGTTGTCATGGGAGGATGCTCTTCACCTTGTTCAAAATCGTCGCTACTGTATTTCGCCAAATGGTGGTTTTTTGACACAGATCAAGGTGAGTTTTGTGTCCCCGTGCTTGGCCGGCTTTGCATTCCTCTGCCTCGAGCCTTTATCTTGCACTACAACGAATCCGTCTATGAGAATTTTTGTATTCTTATGTTGTGCTCCAGGAATACGAGTCGATATACAAGGCATCCGTCGCTGTTGCTGGATTTCCACAAGGGCAGATGCAAAGAGTTGTCTCCCGGAGGAAGAGAGATGACGATGACGATGAGGAGGATTTCAGGTGTGTCCATCTTTAGATTGATTCCCATTCTTTGTGTCCCTCAAGTTTAACAATCTATCAGAGAGGAAGACCGCAAAAGAGCATTAGTTGATGGAGAAGGGGACGACGCAATGGCAACAGATATATGACCGTGCTTTCTTGGAGCTTTCTCCGTTTCCTCTAGTTCAATTCTGTTTAGTCTACCACTATTGTATACTCATTTTAGAAGTATTTCGTATCCTGTCATGATAAATGGTATAAGTTCTGTTGGGGTCCGATATGACCCAGTTGTCAACTGGGTATGATCTATAGTGACTTGATCTTTGCCTTCTCTTTCTCCTGTAGAACACGCTTTGCGTGGACCTCTGAAGAAGTAATCAGACATAAGACATCCGCAGCAACAAGGCTCTGACCTTTGCGTTTTACCCACGCCTCAACTGAGATGCCCCAAAACACAATGGCCGCGCCTGCCCACTGCCCGAGGGTGAGTCTGTGGTCATAAACTACTACAGAGAGAATCATGGTGAACATCTTTCTTGTCAACGTAATCATTCTGCGGATTTGTGATCAGCAAAGAGCGTAACAGAACCCCAGAAAAGGATTACGAACACTAAAGTCAATGATCCAAAATGCTGTAACGTCTCGAAGATGAACAGCTGCCCAAGAGCGCCAGTCAAGGAAAACTGGACTAGAGGTATGATAGCAGAAGGATGCGTCCTTATAAACCCAATTGCATTTGCAAATTCTGATTGCAAACCGCTCGAGGGGTGAAGCACAGGGATGTGCGGCAAGGGAAGCGTCCCAAGCGCCGTAGTCAATAGCGTGCAGAATATATTGATCCAGAACATCATCTGTTGTCCGGTCACCTTGTACCGAGCGAACATCTCGTCTTGCGTCGAGTTCACCGCGCCATCGAGAATGAGGTTGATAAAAAGGTAGAGAATGCCGATCAGCTGGCTATGAGACCCCTGCTCTCCATTGGATGAGGCTTTTGATGGCTTTTCATTCCCAAAGCCCATGAAGACACTGATTCCGGCTGTGACCATCGCGACTACGATATACTTGTGTGGAGCAAAGCGCCTCCTGTACATGACGAAATTCATGAGCATCACTGGGACGAGTTTGCAAGACTTCCCCAAGACCATTGTAGGATACGTTATGTACGAGAGGGCTGCGAAGCCAAATGGAGCGGCTAGCGTGATGAAAGCCGATACTTGAAGGTAGCGCAAGAGGAGAGCTTTGGATGTGGATGAATAAGTGTGTAAATGCGCGCTTGAGGAATGGGAATGGCCGTTGACTTTAGTGCTCGAAGATCCATTTGTTTTGGAATGGGATGAATTGTTCGTTTGCACCATGGAGGCAAGGTCCAGGCCCAGTAGAGATGATAGTGATGACCCTGATTTTCCACGGATGAGTATGTATGCGAGGGCAGACAGCGAGCTCAGGAAGCTTTGACAAGTCCCAAGGAAGAGTGCCGACTTGAACTTGTCTGTTGATTGTCCGTCTATGTGTTGAAACGGAACTGATACTAAGAGCTTGTCTTAGTTCATGCAATTGGTTGGGTTTATGCGTTGTACTTACGTCGTTCCTGTGCCACAGCCCATAGCTGAACACAACGCTGGTGAGCAGCTGTCTTTCGTCAGAACTGGTGAAATTAGCATACTAGGAACATGGAGTAGACTCCCAGAACACATAGTCCAAGCCTGTCGTTCAAAGCTCGTGAATACAGATGCGGGCTCTTTTAGTGAAAGGGCTTACCGAAGGACCGACATTGTGCGGGCACACAAGGTGAAGGTGGTGGTGTTGTTGATGAAACAAGTTTGAATGTAATTAGTTTAGTTGCAAAGTGGTACGTGTCATCATATTAAGACCTAACCCTAACCCCGAACTAGGGTGTGACATCCAAGCCCAGTTGGTCGCACAGAGTAAGAATACCTTCCTTCAAACGAATCACGTCCTCTCTAGTTGGCCTACCCTGCAACGGTCTACTTGTAGCACCAGCAGTGAGCCTCTGCAGCATATCTTCTAATCCCTCCATCTCTCTCTTCTGCAGAAGTTCCTCACTCTGTTCGATCAGATCATCATTTGCATCAAGATGCTCTCTGGCGTGTTGCTCTGCTTCCTGATCGACAGGAACGATATCGGAGAAGCGAATGCCTGCGAGCGAAGATGATATTTCGCGTGCAGTTGTTAGGGTTGTTGGGTCTTCTTGGCTTTTTGAGCTCAAGAATGATGCAATCGCAGAAATTATGCCACGCATTGATCCCAGATCACGGCCAATCGGAACTCCTACATGCGCGAAACCAGCGTCGAACCCCTCTTGAAGTGCGGATTCCTTGCCTGCGATTATCCCTTCTCGGTATCCAGACTACAGATGGAAATATCAATCAAGGGAAGAATGAAACATGAGTGTGCATGGTACGTTTGTGAACTCATTAGAGAGTTTTGCCCAGTCTGCTTCGGGAGCATAGTCTGCTCGTGGGTCTTCCTCCCAAGGTGAATCCATGCTGTAAAGCTGGACTCAGATGCTGACGGCAAACATGTTTGAATTTGTCCCACCAATACTTATAAGTATACTTAGTGGATGAAATGAATGATCTCTGAGTAGTTCAAACGTTCTACCGGCAGTTTACATAAGAGTCATCTCTTGCCCAAATGCGTTTGTCTCAGACCTCTGTTGGCAGAGCCACAGCCACGTAGTTAGCTAGACCATTCCTTCATTAGCAGAGTACTCGTTTGCAACAGCATCATCTGAATCCGATCGATCGGACCGCCGAGACTGGGTCTAGTACACTTGTCCAACGGTTTCTGCGAACAGCTGGAACTGCATGTATGAGTCACTATGATTAGTCAGGGGGGCTGGGCCGTGGTTTGAATACCGGTGAATTTGCCCAGATGGGAATATCCATAGAAATATTGGGCCACATGACACCGGCGCTTCCGGATCCAGGCTTCTGCCGGCACAGGTGGGTATCTTTGTGTATCGCTCTCATGATACGATCAGATCGACTAGCTAGTTGAGCTAGCGTTGAAACACGCTGTCTGTACTGTACTAGCTGATATGAATTGAATCCAAGTGTTTTATCGTGCTGACTAATTAATACATTATAATCTGATTCGGAAATGTACGTGGGAAATTAGATACATTCGCCACGTCGGCATTTTAGTGCCTCGCATCGCTGTGCTTCTTGTCCTTTAACTGTTCTTGAGCGACTATTCCTGCTTGTTCTTCCCAAGCTCGGTTTCGTTCTCTCCACTACTACAATTATTTCCTCTAGGTTTCGTCCACTAATGGCTGTCGCGTCCTCCTCGGACGTCGCAATACTTGCGCTGGGCGTGGTCCTAGCTGCCGCATATCTTTTTCGTGATTCAATATTCTCTTCCTCGACGCCCAAAGCTGTCCCGGTTGCCCCTTCGAAACTTGCGAACGGCCATGGGAACCCACGAGATTTTATTGCTAAAATGAAGGAAGGGGTAAGCTATCAGCCTCCAAGGTTCATAATCGCATCAATGTATCATATATCTGATATTCTTCTCAGAAAAAACGTCTCATCATATTCTATGGTTCGCAAACTGGTACTGCTGAGGAATATGCAATCCGCATTGCCAAAGAGGCAAAGACCAAGTTCGGACTCACATCTCTTGTCTGCGACCCCGAGGAATACGACTTTGAGAATCTAGATCAAGTCCCCGAGGACAGTTGTGTCATTTTTGTCATGGCTACCTATGGCGAGGGTGAACCTACCGATAACGCAGTTCAGCTCATGGAAAACTTGACCGATTCTGCATTTGAGTTCAGTAACGGTCAACATGGGCTCGAGGGCCTCAAATATGTTGTTTTTGGTTTGGGCAACAGGACTTACGAACACTACAATGCCATAGCACGTCAGGTAGATGATGAGCTCACGAAAATGGGCGCAGTCAGGATCGGCGAACGCGGTGAGGGAGACGACGATAAGAGCATGGAAGAGGACTACCTAGAGTGGAAGGACAATTTTTGGCCTGCATTCGCTGAAGCTTTGGGTGTAGAGGAGGGTCAGGGTGGTGATACCCCAGATTTTGCTGTTACCGAATTAGAATCCCACCCTCCGGAAAAAGTATATCTTGGTAAGCACCCGCTATACATTTTTGTACGCCTCTCATTTTGGTCTGTAGGCGAACTTTCTGCACGTGCCCTTACAAAGACCAAAGGCATCCATGATGCTAAGAACCCGTACGCCTCTCCGGTCAAGATTTCTCGCGAACTTTTCCAAGTCGGTGGAGATCGTAACTGCGTCCATGTCGAGCTTGACATTGAAGGTTCTGGAATCACATACCAACATGGCGATCACGTCGGCGTCTGGCCTCTCAACCCTGACGTTGAGGTTGACCGTCTCCTTTGTGCACTTGGACTCTACTCCAAGAAAGATACCGTTATAAACGTCGATTCGCTCGACCCTGCTCTTGCCAAGGTTCCATTCCCTGTCCCTTCAACATATATCAGCGTCCTCCGCCATTACATCGACATCAGTGCTGTCGCCGGTCGTCAGATTCTCGGTGTTCTTGCCAAGTTTGCTCCCTCCCCTGAGGCCGATGCGTTCATGCGTAACCTCACCTCCAACAAGGATGAGTATGCAGCTGTTGTCGCGAATGGATGTTTAAAGCTTGGCGAAGTCCTTCAACTAGCTGCAGGCAATGTCATTAATGCCCACCCTACACCCCAGAACACCACTGCCTGGGCTATTCCCTTTGATATTGTCATCTCATCGATTCCTCGTTTGCAACCTCGCTATTACTCTATCTCGAGCAGCCCCAAGCTTAACCCTACCTCCGTACACGTGACAGCTGTTGTTCTCAAATATGAGTCCATTGCGAACAAGCTCGTTGCTTCTCGTTGGGTACATGGTGTTGGCTCAAATTTCTTGCTTAATATCAAACACGCCGCTAATGGCGAGACCGCTGACGCTAGCGAAGGAATTGAACATGTATCGCTGCCGGCGTATGCCATCGAAGGTCCTCGTGGGGCGCACAAGGCTGAGGATGTTTACAAGATTCCTGTCCACGTCCGTCGTTCTACGTTCAGGCTACCGACAAACCCCAAGAGCCCTGTCATCATGGTTGGACCTGGCACTGTAAGTCTATTTGTTAGAGTACTTTGCGGCTTTCCGCTCACAGAAACGGCACAGGGTGTTGCGCCATTCCGAGGGTTCATCCAAGAACGTGTTGCTCTTGCCCGCCGAACACTTGAGAAGAACGGCGATGATGCTCTGGCAGATTGGGGTCAAATCTCACTCTTCTATGGTTGCCGTAAGTCAACAGAAGACTTCCTCTACAAAGACGAGTGGCCACAATATACTGCCGAGCTGAAGGGCAAGTTCACGATGCACTGCGCATTTTCGCGGGAGCCACCATACAAGCCTGATGGTGGCAAGATCTACGTGCAGGATCTCATTTGGGATGACCGGAAGAATATCGCGGACGCCATCCTGAATGGGAAGGGATATGTATACATTTGTGGTGACGCCAAAGCGATGAGTAAGGCAGTAGAGGAAGTTCTTGCGCGGATTTTGGGCGAAGCGAAGGGTGGGAGTGAGGCAGAAGGCGCGGCTGAGATCAAGCTGATGAAGGAACGCTCACGGCTAATGTTGGATGTCTGGAGCTAAAGGAAATCATTGGTTTGGGTCGTTTATTTGCCAGCTTATGACACGTCAGCACGCCGTGACACGACACTGATATTATATTGCAATAGATTTATGTAAACTGCATGAATATTTGTCGTTCCGTTGCAATCTTCCTGTAGCTTATTTGTTGAGTCTACCATAAGCGAGACCTGATAGAATAATTGTTCTTTCAGCTTCAGGCGCTAACCAGATCTATCGTTTGTCGGTGCGGCTCGGAACCGGTGTGTTCTTCTGCTCAACTATATTGGTCTAGGCATTATCATGCTGGGGACTAGGGTATGGAGACCAGTAAACAATCTACGCACATTCTCCCATTCATGTCTGCGCCCTAATGCGCAATCAACGAGATCTCTGTCGCCGGGGCCATCAAAAGTTGACTCGCAAGCCCAATCCCGCCAGGAAACTCATGCTAACGTGTCTGAGGGCGTTAAACATCCATCCGAAGTTGTGCCTGCTGGTTCAAAGGTCCAGTCCGACTCTCCTCGGCGACTCAACTCCAAGATATCCGCGTGCGATCTAGACACCATCAAACAGCGTATCGGAGATTGGATTGCACTTGCAACTGCTGGATTCAAACAGCAAACAAACGGACTCCGTCAACGCACAGATGAGTTCACGCAGAAGACGTCCACAAGATTTTTTCAGTTGGGCTCTCAACTCAATCGCGTAACGGGCTATGAGGAGATTGACTCGCTTAAACAACGGGTAGTCGAACAAGGTGTGCTGCATTCCTTTATTGTGTTTGTGCTACAACTGAGACTTATGTTGGCGAAGAGGCTAGAATCATGGCTACTCGCCAAGCAGCTCGAGAGGCTAAGACAGCGCATGACGATGCTGTTTTACAGCGCTCTCTTTCCCAGCGCCAAGTGAATGAGCTCTTGCAGCGTAAATCTTCGTGGACAGACGCCGACGTCAGCGCCTTCACTTCTCTTGTACGTTCAGATCACCAACTGGAGCAACACGAGGTCGCGACGAAGGCCAAGGTCTCCGAGAATGATGATGCGTTGGATAGAGAATTTGCTGAGCTCATGCGCGCCATTCTGGCTAGGTACCACGAGGAGCAAGTGTGGAGTGACAAGATCCGAAGTGCGAGTACCTATGGGAGTATGATGGTGCTTGGGGTCAACGTGGTGGTGTTCATACTGGCGATCATAGTGGTTGAGCCATGGAAGAGGCGGAGACTGGCACAAACGTTCGAAAAGAAGGTGGAGGAAATGGCTGCAGAGACCCAAGCTTTGATAGAGTCTGGGATTGCGAAACTGGATGAGCGGTTGGTCAAGCAGGAGGGACTGACCTCAGAGATTGTGGAAAGGGCGGCATACGATGCTCGAGATTTGTCTAGCGAGTCGTTGTCAGTGCCAACTGTGACAGTATCTGTCCCTGGGAAACAAGCAGACGTTGGGCCAGAGCACTCATCGATATGGTCGCATCCTATATCACGAATAATTCAAGACCGGGAGGTACTGCTTATTGTGGGCAGCGCTATTACAGGTAGTGCAGTCACGCTGCTAGCCCGAAGTCTTTTCGGAACTTAGCTTGCATACTTACTCCTCCCACCAACCAGCTTTTCTGAATCTCATAACGACGCTAGTGTACCTAGTCATTTAGACCTGGACTCTGTACACCATACTCTACCACACTTGCAAGCACCATCCACGATCGATAGGGGCTGGGCCGCCTTTAGAAGTTCACGTGATTTAAACCTTGCTTTTCTATAGTGTAGGTAGTGGCTGTGCTAGCTACACAGTTCACCATGAAGGTCGTTACCACCTTTCACCCGGCGTCATCTGTCGTAGATTCGCTCAAATTTAGGTTGAAAGATGAGCACCCATCAGAGTTTCTTGTCGTTGCAAAGTCAAATAGGCTTGATATATATGCACTACTTCCAGAAGGGCTCCGTCATCAACAGGGTCTTGATATCTGGGGAAGAGTCCGAGTTATCAGAGCTGTGCCAGTCTTGGTGAGCAACAACTGCAAAAAACACGTCTGTAGTGTCATATTAAGATTATGGGACTCGTTTTCTAGAGTAGAAGCAGCATCAGCCTGCTCGTGCTTACCGATCACCCAGAGCCAGAGCTTATATTCCTATCTTTTACTGTAAATGGCACAGGGTCAACGGAGATTACTGTCACGAAGTATCTCTCATTGTCTGAGCGCAGTGCTCGGCCGGCAGAATTCTGCCACACCGTTCTAGTTGATCCTTCAGGGGGTGTGGCTGTCGTGAGCGCGTACACAGGCAAGCTCAAGGTCGTGGTGCTTGACCAAGACGGAGGATATGACCATGATTTTGATGCATCGTATGTCGTGGCATTTTTCGCGCTAATTTTACTCATATTTTCTCGTCAGAATAACTGAGCTCAACCTTCTGGATATTACCTTTGTGTCAACTTCTCGGGATATGTATACCTTGGCAATGATGCACATCGACTACCAACAACGCCTCCAACTTCTTACTCGCGACCTTTCTATTGAGGACCTCCAGCTTTCCACATTACCCTCGCCACTCCTCCCCTCACTCCCTGTCCCAGGCAAATTATTTAGTACAGCCATGGACGATGACGGAACCCCTACTATCATACATATCCCTTCTTATAAGGTTGACGATGATGATTTCGAAGGTGGTATCCTCATCATCGGTGGGCGAAAGATCATGCTGTATGATTTTGTGGACGTCGAAACGCGGGCTAAGAGGGAGAGCAAGAAGAAACGCGCAGATAAGAAGAAAACTACTGGAGAGACGGAAGCAAATGCTAAAGAGAAAGGGATTGAGTGGAAGAAGAGGAAAGCTAGGGCTGCGGTAGAATGGCCATGGGCAGAAGTCACTGCGTGAGTTTTATTTGTAGGATCGAGGCTGCGGGCTCACCAATGTTAGATGGTGTCATGTTGACGACAAGCGGAAGTACTTGATTGGGGACCGCTATGGAAAGCTCGCGTTGCTTTCGATAAATCTCTCTGGAGGCACAACGCTAACATTGATGGCACTCGGGGAGGTAGGTCCGCTCAAGTCCCGCTGGTCGTTCTTGTTCTGATCATCTTTACTAAGACGTCTGCACCAACTACATTAACTTACCTTGCTAATCAAGTTTTCTACAATGGTTCGCACTTTGGTAGCTCGCAATTGCTCCAGATTACTACTACTCCATCTTTTGCGTTTGACGCCCCTACATTGCCTGTTCCATCCACGATACCAACCATCAGCCCTAACGCACTCAACTCCCATGTGTCAGGTAGAAACACCGATGCATCAGGTTATGTTGTCGTTGGATTGGGGAGTTATGTCACTGAGCTGGAGTCCTTCAGCAACCTCGCTCCGATACTTGATGCTGTGCTGATCGACACTGATGGCAGTGGACAGGTATGTCAAATGACTGTCTACTGACTTTGGACGCTGAGGTGATTCAGAACGAAATTGTAACATGCTCTGGTGGCAGAAGCACGGGAAGTATCAAAGTCATACGGAGTGGCGCTGACTTTTCCGAGAAAGCGATAGTTCAGGGACTCGGAAATGTCACCCACATCTGGCCATTGAAAGTAATGTACCGTGCACCGTAAGTTTTTCATTCGTCCCGACCTCTTTTAGAACCGCTGATGACAAAATTAAGCGATTATGCACATATCGTGGTCTCAACTTTGCAGGAAACGCACGTTTTTCGTTTTGACAACGCTTCATCGATCTCCAGCATTGACGGGGACAAGAACACTGGTTTTATCACCGATTTACCTACCATCGCAGTCTCAAATATCCTTCGACGCACGTACAACGCGGAAAATAAATCTGACTATGCAGATTCTAGTTATGTTATACAGGTCATTTCGAAGGGCCTGCTATTACTTGAGTATGACCCTGATGTGCAACAATACACCAGAATTGGTGAACCATGGACCTTGGAAAAGTTAGCAGATCCTGGTAAAGAGGGATTGTGGAAGGGGCGAGAGATTGTAGCTGCGAGTATCAACGCGAGCCAGGTTGTGCTTGCACTCAACTGGGGGAGGGTGGTGCTGCTGACTCTGGATGACAAGCGATTTATCAAGCTGAGGTGAGTTTGAACATCTAGGTGAAGATTTCATTTGATTGTTGTCCATCATTGCAGAGAACGCAATTTTGTGCACAATAATCGTGATGCAGAGATTTCAGCAGTCTCGTGTCTTCCACAGGATCCAGCCAAGCGCTTTGCGCTAAATATTGTGGTCGGATTCTGGACATCTAAGCACGTCGAGATACTCTCACTGAGAGCTGCGGATGGAACCATGCCCACGGTTACATCGTCCCCTGTACTCCCCTCTGCACCCCGCTCACTGCTGTTGTACAATTTCACGTCTGATGACTCCAAGTTCTCAAATGTACACCTACTCATCGGGCTTACGGATGGTTCCATCGCGTCATTTTTGTATCGAAATGATCAATTGCTTGATCAGAAACTGGTTTCCATCGGAAGTCTTCCCGTAACAATGCGTTCGTGTCGGATTGGTGCGAGACAAACAGTGCTTGCGTGTGGAAGCAGGACAGCAATTTTATTCTGGGAGAAAGAGAGATTGATGTATTCGCCGCTTATACTCAAGGTCTGTGTCATTTTTCGCGTCATCGTTCTTGACCAACGAGTTCGCAGGATGTGACAGCTGCAGCAGAATTGAGTACAAGTGATTACCCATCGTCCATAGTCCTTGCCAACTCCGATGGCCTGGTCTTTGGGAACGTGAACAACTTTGATAAATTGCATATTCGCTCTGTAAGATAAATCTTTCCATAGGAGTCCCGCTGACAGTTAGTTCTCAGATACCTCTCGGCCTCAACAATCCCTTACGCATTACGCATATTCCTGCCCTTAGAGTTTTTGCCGTCGCATGCCGTTACATAACCCCGGCTCGCATCGGAGATGTAGAGGATATCAATGGCTCCATACAAGTCTTTGACGACATATCGTTCAATAGTGAGTTAGGTTCAACGCGCAAGATGGTTATTAATGATATGAATAGAGCTCGGGCATTTTAATTTGGAGCAAGGCGAGGAACCGACGTCACTGCTGTCCTTCACAACAAATTCTGGATCGTATCTGTGTGTAGCAGCAGTGACACTCGAAGATGAAGACACAGAAGCCTCCGAGGGACGTATATTTATTTTGGAAATGACGTCGAATGCATTGCAGGTAAACATGTCTGTCGTAACTTCGTATGACGTCGAGGGATGCCCCTACGCATTGACCTCCGTGAATTCTATGATCGCTGCGGCAGTTAATAGCATGGTAACGAACCAGCCTATAAACTGTTTACGCAACTGCTCATTTGCCCTGCAGGTCATTGTCTTCAAGATGGACACAGAGAGCGGAAATATGACAATGGCGCAAATAGCAACCTGGAACCACAACTATCTAGTGACGAGCCTCGCATCTCGCGGCGATATTATTCTGTTAGGTGACGCAATCAGCTCGATCTCGATGTTGCGGCTCGAGGACAATCGATTGCACTTGATTGCCAGAGACTATGGCCCACTATGGCCTACCTGTGTCGAGCTCATGAGTAACTCCACCCTGATTGGTGCAAATGTAAGCTGAAGTCCATTGTTTGACGTTGTACACTTATTCTCTTGTGCTCAGAGTGAATACAACCTTTATACATTCAGTCTCCAGGACTCGGGAACGCGGGAGCTTCTGGAGAGAGATGGGAATTACTTCCTTGGGGACTTGGTCAACAAGTTCCTGCCTGGTACGTGTGCGCTTTATCGTCACTTTCCCATACTTACGCATCTTAGGCACATTGTCGTCTCAGGAGGTCTCGCTCGACTCGCCGATGCAGCCCCAACAATTGTTCTTCACGTCTGCGGGCCTTATCGGTGTGATCATTGACCTTGCCGATGACCTTGCCTTGGATCTCACTGGCCTTCAACGGAACCTGTCCAACTATATCCAGAAACAGGAAGGGCCAAACCACACAAAGTGCGTCATGAGCCCGTACTTTCAATAATTATTCAATTCACTTTGCGCATAGGTACCGCGCGCCAAAGAATGTCCGCGGTCGCAGTGACGCAGATGCGTCGTCCTTCGGGTTCCTTGATGGCGACTTCCTCGAGCGCTTCTTACAGTTTGTGGGAACCCCCCAGGCGCTCAAACGGATTATGGATGGACAAAGTGAGCCTGAAAAACTCACGATATCGGCAGACAGGATTCAGAAAGTGCTTGAGAGCATGCAAAGCATGCATTGATGGAGCGAGGGGAATAAACAAAGTCGCAATTTGATTACTCTAAACCAATCATTCATCATCGAATCACAAACATGCCATAATGTATCAAGATTGGTACCAAGCGAATGAGGGTACCCCTTACGAAGACGACTACTGGCAACGATGTGATCGTTATATCAAACGAACGGATGGTAGTTGGAACAAGGAAGGTGAGGATTTAGCTGCATGGTCATAGTACTAGTCTTCCTACGACCAGATGGCCGCATACAGTTGTGAGACGACAGAAAGAGGCCCAACATCCCCAGCCACAACAATATCTTCCTGGTCATTAGAGTTACGCGGAGCGAAATAAAATCCGGAAACAAGGACAACATAGCTGTTGCAAATCAATACGACGTACATATAACCAAAGGTAGATACTCACCTCAAAATGAGGATACTTCCACGGTGGTAATTACTCTTGGCCTCGATATAGGTATAGGTCATCAGAAAGACGGACAAGATGATCGCAATGACATCCCAGCGCGGGAATACGAGTCTGGGGAAAGATAAGCGTAAATGAATTATCGACATCATCGAGAGATGGTTTG